CTTTCTCTAGAAAGGAAGATTATCACTCCTCAAAATATACCCTTTCAATTGACACCCTAATCTTCTTCTATGTGTATTTGTGAAATTTATTTTTTCTGAATTATTTTATATCGTAGTTGCATCCTTGTAATTTTTCTGATTATAATTTCCAAAACTATGAGCTCTCGAAAGAGATGTCTCAAATCATCTCGAAGCAACTAGGATTTAAATTTTTATTGTTTTTGTTTAGCGCTAGTTGATCAAATACTGTGATGAATGTAATAATTGGAATGGTTTCAGTATAATATCTAGTCAGTCAGTTGGCGGGTTGGCTGTCCTTGTTCATCTTTTACTGCCTGAACCACTGTGCATGCTGTTTTCGGCGAGTGCATTGGCTTGGAATGTGGGGGTTGAGCAAACCGGCTATCAGATACTTGCTTCCACGTAGCCCCGCTGGAGACGGGAATGACAGAATCACATGTGGTTCTGTTATTCCCTAACTGAAAGACATCCCAACGATGGCTTAATCCTAAGGTATCCGTGCTGGGAGGATGAATGACACTAAGCCTATCAGCTGTCTCTACGGAACCTTCGAGATACCGGGCGCCCTCTCGTCGTAGCATCGCCTTGTCACGGTAATGCGGGGCACTGCCGTAATTGACCTTCTTTCCTAGCTACTCGTGGGAATTTTATGGACAGAGTGAACTTGAATTTTTTTTCTGACGCTGAGTCTATAGAGGAGATGGATGTCGAGCTTACGACTCCAGTTGACTTCCCTGTAAACTTAGAGATCAGGAGCGAGTCTACAGAGGAGATGAATGCCGAGTTTACGACTCCAACTGACCTCCCTGTAAATTTAGTTGAGGAGCGAGTCTACAAAGGAGTTAGATGTCGAGTTTATGACTCCAACTGGCCTCCCTGTGAATTTAATTCAGGAGCGAGTCTACAGAGGAGATGGATGTCGATTTTACGACTCCAACTGACCTCCCTGTAAATTCAGTTGAGGAGCGAGAGCTTCTGCCAGAGGCGAAAAAGCCCTGCACGGCTGAATCTAAGGCATCGTCAGGTGTAGCTGACATGCAAAAACCCTCATATGGGAAGGTCGTCGTGGGTATCAAGGTGGGATTCTTGCAACTTGACTACCCGACTACCTCATTAACAGAGCATATACTTTGTTCCCTCCCCGCTGATGGGGACCGAATCAGGTCTTTAGAGTTCGGCAGAGCCGTACTCTTACCATCTGACCTGAAAGACCACTCACCATACAAACTAATCGGCTTCGTTAAGAAGCTGGGTTTATTTGGCCGAGTGTGACTAGGTGTGAGCCATAATAAACCCTTGCGAGTTGTGGTGGGAGGTCGAAAAGATCCATTCACTTTGGACCTAACCTAACCTAGTCAGTCAGTTATTCTGAAGATGGGCATGTTTCACAAAGGTTTTGGCAGCATTTTATGCGTTAACCTCTATCCAGGAAAAAGTGAAATGAAATAGGAGGCTTGCGAGTACTTCTTCAGGATTCGTCGTAAACTATAATGAACTCAAGAGAGATGGGCTCATAGGGAAAGGGAAAATAAATGTCATGCTCATGTCACTTGAATTTTCGTTTAATAAATAACAATGAAAAACAGTCCAACACGAAGTTCTCTTAATACTATTAAATTACACCAGACGAGTTCGATTTTTGTCCGAAGTCCTCTTGCAACGGGTGAGAAGTTGTTAACTGAATGACAGCGAATAGTGCTTTCCCTCTTCCATTTCTCATATTGTATGTACAAAAAAAGCCATCAAATGGAAAACGCTAAGTAGAAGTAATGAAAATTTAGGGTTACAATTCTGAAACTGAGCCTTATATATGTTTCCCTTCTTGCTGTGTAAGTAGAAAGCTCATTCTTCATAGTTTGAAAAGTTCAAGCAAATTATATGAACAAATGAAAATTAAAGGTGAGTTCCTCGATACATCTGCTTCACAAATTGAGCGAGAAATGTATAATGATGAAAAAAACTATGAAAATTTCACTTAAAACCAAGGTTTGGACATATTTATAACTTTGGGAATGATCCAGTTGCATGAAAACATTTCAAATAAAAAGGTCCTATATCCTAAGATAAAAAAAGTTGTTCCTTCAGATGAAAGAGTCTTACACACTAATTCAGGTCAAACATAATTGGCAAATGATGATAATAATTCTAATCAACATCATTCTGATGTTTGATATCGGTAAACCTCCATATTATGAGGCACATGTTAATGCACTCTCCAATAAAATGATGAAAACTCAGGACTGGCAAAATTACTAAAAAGGTCTCAAGAACTGAACTGAAGTCGTATCAGGATTATTTTCCAGGTTTCTTTTGCGATGTTTCTTCTACGACTGCGGTAAACATCATCGAAGACTTCATTATTGTCTACTGCAAACATAAATGGAATGTCAGACATGAAAACCTTCAGACCACGCTCAACAAACCGAAAAATAGCTGTGAAAGTTTTCACTCTTTGATCAATTCAGAAAATGACGCTAAAAAAGTTAAAATGCTAATATAGCCGACACATTGAAAAACTTTATGTGACAAATATTCTGGTATCAACGATTGAAACATGGAATTCTACAAGTCTTTGTTTTTATCAAACATCTTTAAACTAGAGATATTTATACATGTGCATACTAACTGAAACCAAAGTATCCGTTTTTTTATAGATTGAGTGGGGTTATCATCCGTTAAACGTATCTGTTTTATTATTTTGTTTTTGATTTGTTCTTACTTTTTTTATGTGATGATAGGACTTGATGAAATTCATTATACCTTCTCAGTATGTATTATATGTCAAATAATGAACCTAGCTATTTAGCAATGAATTTTTTTAAAGTGGAAGTTTTTTTACAGGTACTGTCTTCTGAAAATATTATTTCTGCATATACTATCTGTTCAAGATAGGGAGGACCAGCTTGTGAAATCAGAAAGTGTAGTAGATACAAAGTCGGCTGAATAAAGAAAAAGTTATGCATTCAAAAGTTTATTGAAGTGTCGTTTTGAAATTCACAAAATTTCGATTGAGTATGATAAATCAGTGAAGTTACCGCTATAAATGAAAACTTATAACAATGGGTGATTTTTTTTCCAGTCCACATTAAAAATTAAATCGGTGATGATTGTTCGGAAACGAAACGGGTTAAAAATTTGTAGAGCTCAAAAAGTACCAATGAGAAAGTATTTTCCATCCTTTAATATCTTCTCTAATAACGCCAAAAAATGAAAGCATTTTTTGTATTGATACCAGTACTTCTCAATAAATTAATCGATGCGATATTATTCTTTCTAGCTATTCTCAGACATTTTCACTACCTTAAATGGACAAAAAGGGACTGGGAATTCATCTTCACCCGAACCAGTTCGATTCATTTTTTTTTATTTGATCACTTATTCCAAACCTTTTCCAGGTTTCTGTTTGTCATTTTGCTAATTATTCTGTCTCAATCTCATACCAGGTGACACTCTCTAGATTGTCAGCGAGATTTAGAGTTAACAAGCTACTTGGTGATTTCCGTCTAATCTTCTTTGCGTTTCTTCACTAAATTATTATATTTTCCTTTCCAAGACTGACACATTTAAACGTCAGTTGTAAATGAAATACCTTCCAGTTAAGACAAGCTACCCTGAATGAGTCAGTTGATATTGAGTCTAGAGTATAAATGTTGAAACACGTCAACTTTGGTTTTCAGGAAGATACATATCTACGTAATAATTCAAACCTTGTCAGCCACCCTCTCTCTTGTCAACCCTCTTGTCAAAAGTTTCTAACAGGTAAAAAAGTCGATTGACACCATATTTGAAATGTCTTTGAATGTTGTACCCCTTCCTGTAATATTTCTGACATTACAACGATAGTAGGTAGCAGACCAGAATAGTGAAGGATATCTCGATATGCTGAATGATTGAGTTATTTAAGGCACTAACAACGAAATCCATTCAGATCCTCTACTGCGAAATGGGGTAGTTTTTCAGCAATATAGAACGATCTCTCACTGCATGATACAAGTGCGATAATTTCTCGATAATAATTTTCCTGGTCGACGGATTGAAAGGAATGACCAGCTAGATTCCTCGATTCGACTCTACAGGACTTTTTGAACCAAAAGTCTAAGAGATGTATTTTGGACAGTTTACCGGATTACCATGTGGTATGTAGGCTACTAACACCTGATATTCTTCAGAATGTAGAAAAGGCAACAAAATTTTGTTTATATCACTGTATGTAAGATAAATTCAATGAAGTAATTTCTTCTGTTTTGCTTCACTTTCTAGTTGGAAAGTGAATGCACAATATTGAACTGCTCAACATTGCTTAATGTTATGATAACAAAAATTTTACAGCATTCGATACAAAATTGAAAGATCTATTATTCTAATTTGAAATCTTCGATGTGTAGGTTGTTATGCAGATGGGTTGCGAATAAGGGGTTGTTCTCAACGTAAAAACATGTATTGAAAACTGAATTGGACTTGTTTCATGATTTTCTTGCTTCCGGTCTCAAAATCAAATGACCTATTCAGGGTTGCTATTTTTAACGGTGTGTGTCTTCAAGAATCTTAGTATTATTATAGGTATATTACCACACTAGATTATATGCATTGAGATCGTGGGTATTTACACATTTCAGTATATCATAACGACTAACTGAACTAAGTTGATGATTAGTCATTTTCGTTAACTACACCTAAAACTGGTGGCCAAAATCTTTAAAAAACTTTCGGGTACTATTCTACAACGTGACTTTTTTCTCAGTTTGACGATACACCTTTACACTGTCCGAACAAAAAATATTATTCCTCAGTTCTATGAGAAAACGGTTCACTTTTCATGAAGTAACACCCAAAGTTTTGAACTTCGAAAGAAAATCGAAGTTTCAAAAATGTATGTGACGTCACTACTAGGTTTTGTCAAACATTGAACACCTGGATTGCAAGAAGATTTATGGACTTCTGGCAGAATCTTGTCTAACAGACCTCCTCACAGGTCACTGTCGTCTGAATCATCATTGCGGGTTGCGGTGGAGGGTCGAATCGACCCACTCACTTTCGACCTAACCTAACCTAACGTCATTACCTTCGAGACTTATCTCCTCTTTCAAACCATGTTCCAAAATGTATAGGAATTGTGTGAAGCAGAAAATAGGACTGAATGAATATACAACATAACTATTCATTTAGTACTACTCAATCAAATGCCCCTTCTAAAAATTCCAGGTATTATTGTTCGTAAGTGTTTCGTAATATGAAATGCTTTTCAGTTCCGGAACAAATCAACAAATTGACGTCAAAAACAAGTTGGCAATTTCGCAGGAACAGTTAGAACAACAAGAATACCGAAAGAAGAAGAAAATTCAATTATGCAATATGAATAAACTTTACGGTGTTGCCAAGTTCATAATCGAATGTAAGTGACGTCACGACCATAGTTTTCAATCGATTTTGAAAAAACTACGGCAGAAGAAATTGTAAAAAATCTAAACCTAGGTTATCCCATTATCAGTGTGAAGGTCTATTTACGGACAAATGGCAGGGTGTAGCACTATTCTATGTCACTCTGGGAACAGTTCAGTTCATACGAAATGGTGCACTTAACGATGGGACATTCTTTGTTTAGTCTACGCAGGTACAAACAAAAGTGCAATGATATTCCGTGAAACGTGCTCTGATACGGTATACTCAACTCCTACGCATCAGGCAACCATACTTTCAGCGGTAATTTGACGAAAGCGCCGTTCAAAAATCCCTTGAAGTGCTTCGCTATGGCTGCGTTGGCAGCCGGTTTCATTTCAGCAATGATTTCGTCTGCGTTATTGTTTAGGAATTGGTTCATGGCCTCTCCTGAAACGATAAGTTGTTTTAATATGGGAATGAGGTGACGCATACAAGAAAAGTGTATTCCGTTGTCGTATCATGATTGGGCAATTACCGCCTTTTTCGTCGTAACTACTAGTTTCAAGGTCTATATGGTTGATTACATCAATTTTTGGTTATGTTCGAATCTGTTTGACAATTTTACTAGTTCGGACTTCTAAAATGATCCTTTTATCTTAATTATTTTATTTGTTTCATTGTATTTTCATTTCACGTTTCATTGCTTGATTAAATTGATATTATAGATATTCATTCTAATTGTATTTGTTCTTCCATACATTTCGAATTACATTCGAATCATATTAGACAATAGTCCAAGTCCAAACTAGTTTTTTTGTAATGGGTTCTAATGTTTAACTGTGTTAATGCTTATGTCATGGGTTCTGTAGTTTCATTCGGACCTGAACCAAAGGAAATGCATCCGAATGAAATAAGTAAAAATAAATATGTTGAGCAGTTTTATTAAAAAAAATATGATAATGGTGTAGGTAATGTACTAAAATAATTCAGAAGGTCCTAGGCAGCAGTCATCACACTACATTCCTCAGCAATCTACGGTACTGATCAGATGAAAAAATAATAAAATCGTTGGGCGTAGTGTTTAGGTACATATTTACTCAGGTTACGTTACTCCCAATGATTTTATTATTATTATTTTTTTCTGATCAATACCGTAGATTGATGAGGAGAGTGGTGTATTAATTTTTAGCTTTCAGTACATTATTTACATCATTATCATCTTCTTTTTTTAATAAAACTGTCTAACAAATTTTTCTCATTATTTTATTGTCTAGTTATTAGTTTCTAATTTTGTTACTCAATTCTTCTCATTCTGTTTAGTTCATTTAGTGCCTCAGTATTACAAGGTTTATTTCCCGATAATTTGCTGCAATCTAACTCCTCAATACACAAACCCTCCAAAGACTTTACTCGACTTTGGACTAAGGTATGCTCTTGCTCTTCAAACAATTTCGGGCCTGAATATACAACTGCGTGGTTTACAGTGCTGTCTTGCATTTTGTAGATGGTGGAAGCCCATGACAAACTTTAGGTTAACATCCTTCTTTCAGCCATTCCATAATTGAACTTAACGATGCTGAATATCCGTTTGAAAACACCTCTAGCTTATCCAGCTGATATAAAGTAGAAGTGAATAACATTAAAACATCTTCTTGGAACCAAGAACAGACCAATATGGGACTATGTTGTGGTGAAATTCAGGCGGATATAGTTTTTCTATTTCTCAATAAAGTTGACTAAAGACTGAAGCATTCCCAACTGCTATTCATAAAGTTTGCTTGTAGTGAACTATTTTTGGGAAAGAAAGTTTTTGGCTTTCTACTACTCCATCTTGATACAAATAAAGGATGAGAGGGAATCTTCCAAAAAAAGGAAGGACGTAATCAATTTGAAAATAAGTAGTTCTATACATGAATGTGTAGATCATGCAAAAAAGTAACTTTCAGACACAAACTGAAAGAAAGTCCTCCTGAAACAGCTACTTTCATATTGCAGACATAAGCAGACCTAATGACATTCATTCACCTATTTGATTTAATCCCAGCCAAGAGGAATCTTATTTGAATTGAAGGGGTTATATTTTTGGGAGTGATTAATTTTTGGGAAATCAAATAGGTGAATGAATGTCATTATGATGTCATCGATGACATAAGCAAATCAAGCTTATTCCGTGACATTGAAAAATCCTAATTTATGAATGAATTGTGTCTATTTTCTATAATGTTATCCAATTTGGTACTGAAAAGCCTTGGGGCAAGTGTCTTAAAGCGAAACATCGATGTATACCAGTAAGGATGACAGTGTTCCATGTAAGTGCAATTTGTTACCATTCATTTAAAGTAGAACTCATGTGAATGATATCTGATTTTTATTTCACAACGAATGTTTGAAATACAAACTGAGTAGAGAAAAGTATCTTCTGTATAATTCAGTGTTCATATAGAAGTATTTGTTTCGAAAGATTTTTTTTTTCGTGTAATTCAATGTTTATATGTAAGTAGCTGTTTCAGGAGGACTTTCTTTCAGATTGTGTTTGAAAGTTACTACTCTGTATAATCTACACATCCATGTATAGAATTACTTATTTTCAAATTGATCATCATAGGACAGGAAAACTTTTCCGTTGCCTGAATTCGGTTTCACTTTTCCGATTTCCTTCGAATGCATTTCTCACATGATCCATTTTACAGATTCGATTACCTCCTCTTTTCTCGTTTACCGTGGCTAATCATTTTTATTCAGATACCTGTCTGTCTGCTTTTCTGTATAGTTTATGACTCAGTAATCCTTGGATTTTGATTGTAAGTATTTTTGGGTTGAGATAGTTTAGATATAAACCATGCTGGGATACGAATATATCATCAATATGAATGTTTTTATTGAATTCATTTCAAACCGAAGTATGAAGCTATAGAACACTTTTTCCCCATCAGAACCAACTTAGTATCATCAGGAGATGATTTTTATGTAGGTCACTTCTGAATGCAGCATATTTTTCTCAGCTCAAACGATAATAAGCAATTGTAGATAGTAACAATATGATTAAATATAAATTAGAGTGCGGAAGGACTTCGGTCGATAGCCAGTTGAGCAAAATTGTAATTTTGTTCAGTTAATTACAATTATTATTATTATAAATTAGAGGTGAGAAGTATCTCCGTTCTTGTTGGTTCTTGGGAAATATTTTTCGACACTTGTACCATTACCACCGTAACAACTGAGAAATTTCACTGAGATTTCAATAAAAGGAGTAATAGGTTCTTACCCAATACTGTTTAGTTTCATGTTGAAAGTGGTAGAATGCAGTTGTATTACGTACCTATTATGTTTCCGTGATTGATTATATCTTTAATTCTGAAACGGCTCTTCTTCATTTCGAAATCCACTACCATTTTGTCAATTTTCATGAATCTCACATCTTTTTCGTTCCTGAACTCTTTTCCAAAAATTTTGGCAGCACCATTCACATCCACTGGAACATAAATTATATGAAGCATATGTATTCATTATTTCAATACTCAGTTCAATACGGTGATATTTTTCATGTGAATTTAGTTTCTGAATACAGGAATTCTGCTGAATATTCAGCTACAGAATGATATTTCAGAACTATCAAGTTGTAGAAAAAGTTGGGGTTTATACTTATTTGATGAATATCATGGGACATATAGAGAAATAATTATTGGAAGATAATATTGAAGATCATGAACAGACTAATTAGTAAAGTAGAAAAATGATATAATCAGCAAACTTGAATTTTATAAATATCAAGTGTTTTTCAAATAGCACAAAATTAATCATTTTCTGTTCAACTGTTCAACGAACAGTATATCGTAAGAATTATCAATTAATGACTAAATTTTGACTGATTTGAAGAGACTGCAAATGCAAATTTCGCATTTATTTCTAAACACGTTGAAAGTGTCATCCATATGGTTTTGACCACTGGATACACAAATTTATTATTTTTTTAAAAATTTTATGAACTGAAATGTACGAATGCCTGTGAAAACTTACTTCGTTGAAAGTAAATTCACTAAACTCGGAGTGTGGAGAAGGAATTTGACAACATTTTTAACTTAAAATCAGAAGTTATTGAAATTCCGAGTTTCAAGTAGGATATCAATAATATTCCGAAAATGAAGTTGAAATTTAATGATAATAATGTTGATTAATCCCAACTAGGCCTACTTTTTTGGGAATGAACATAAAACGGCATTGAAAAACATTTTCTAGTATAAAAACTCGCAAGACAAGATTTTATTCAGTAATTTTGATTAATAGAACTGATGTTAATAGAAATCATATGAGAAATATGATAGAACTGAACGATACTTGATGGAAATCTATAAAATATCCAAGAAACACACTTTAATGGAGTTTACAAACTGCGACACGTGTTTCGCTATACAATAGCATCTTCAGGCGTCACAATACTCGGTTCTGTAAACTTTATCAAGTGGAAATCTAACATTAAAGTGTATTTCCTGAATACGAAATCATATCAAAATATGAAAACTCTGACCCGTTACTTGAAGGAAATTGTCAACACAATCATGATGATAACTATAGAATTTTGACAATAGATTTCATTGAAAACGCGTTTTGCTACATAGTCAACTGATGAAGCTACCGTGTTGCAAAACTCGTATTGACTGAATACTGGATAGAAGTTACGTCAATTGAGAAATTACTACTAAAATCATTGGTAACGTGTCATAAATGCCTTGGTTATTTGGTTAGAAGTATGAAATAATTTTTCATTAACAACTGTTCAAGTATGTGACTCCATGAGAACTCACAGAATATGGCCCAAAAATCTCCTTTTGACCTCACTGGAAAGAGTAGAACGTTACCATTGACATCGTATTTTCCTTTGCATTCTAGTCGTGGCAAGTGGATACCAAATTCAATTACGTAATTGTCGAGGTCGGTCCTGAAATGTACCCGAAATTACTTGATTGGTTTTTTAATGGAATGCAAAAAGCAATTAGTGTTCTAACATTTGGCTACATCGTCAATTTTAAATGAATAGTGAAACATGAAACCACTTAACACTAGCAGTAGAGCACCTTATCTGACTCGCAATTCGCTAAAAAAGTTATCATCATCATTTCATGACTAAATGGTTCAGTTTTAGTCATCTGCTGATGATACTAACTTGGTTAGCAACACGTACGTTAGGAAAGGTGCCCTAGTTCTGGCGCGTAAAAAATATTTTCATTAGATTGGCGGAGGCGCAAGTTCCAGGATATTGTGTACAAAGAACCGTTAAAAAACTTAAACGATAATAATTGTTGTTGAATATTACAAGTTCAGAATACTAATAGTACATATGTCCTTCACAACTCAGAATGTACTCACAACCTTCGGAAGTTGGCTGACTTTTAAATGATAATTCGATAATACTGTTAAAAAAATTGTCAGGCTAACCTGAACTTCTTTGTACAACTTCTTTTCATACCTGTTTTACTTCTTACTGATAATCTTAGTTGCCGATCACTTGATATTTTCTGGAAGTAGGATTTAAAAAAAGTTTTTCAATTACATTTGTGTTTTGAATATTTTGTTGATTATATAAAATTAATATAATAAAAATTTATTGCACAAAGGAAACCGTTACTACATAAAAGTATGATAAGCTAACCTGAATAATGTACAATATATAGGTTTCAAAGATGTAGGGTAATATGTATAAATAGTAAATATGATACATAAGCATTATTCCAAATCACTATAAATGATGCATTAAAATAAATTAAAAAAATACATAAAAAATGCAAGGAAAACAAACACTTGACTCAAAAATGAAAACTATAACTAGTGTTTTGGAGAGTAAAATTTTCACATATTGACACATATATGGACAAAGCAATATAGCTCAGAAAATATATATCACGGAATGGGTGTATAATAATCAGCAGAAACTTTACTGTTGACCGAAGTACTATATCATGAAGGGGTTTTCGATTTGTAGATGTATATCAATCTTTGAGGTTGATTTATTATAGCCTTATTTTTGAATTGTTCGATATTATTAATTTCTGTGATATATTGCGGAAGGCGCCCGTAGAGTTTCGGAGTCAAAAATTTAAAATTCTTCTGCCCAATAGACTTCCTCCCGAGGAGTTGTTCTCCTAGGTCGTTGTCCATCCTGTCCGTTCCAGGAAGGAGGACAGGTCACTGGGAGACATCTCCTTTATATCGGCAGGTGTAGGCCAAGACTCGAAGAACAACACACTCTCTTATTGACGATAACACCGGGCACTCGCATAGGACATGCCTGACAGTCTCATCTTCATGTTCACACATCCTGAATGGAAGAGTGTTCACAAGCCCCATATAATGGAAGTGTTTCCTTAGTTGACAGTGGCCAGTCAGAAATCCTACTGTTAAGCGTAGATCTTTCCTGGTCATCGCCAGATATTTCTTCGGCGCCAGCTTCCCATGGTCGCCTAAGGTGATCCTGGCAAGATTGCATCCTTTTATTCTATCCCATTTCTTTAGAGACTGATCATGGGCGTAACATTTGGCTAGTTTCGCAATTGTCGAAGTCATCAGGCCTTAGGTGTCACTGGCTCCTAAAATTCTTAGTCCAGCCGCTTCCTTAGCTAAAGAGTCGGCAATGCGATTACCTTGACCCCTGTCGTGTCCTTTAACCCACCTCAGGATAATGTTATTATCTATCGGGGCTTTGGCTAAATCTTGGTGACACTCTAGTACTAGCCCTGAGGTTACATGTTGTCTGTTCAAGGCTAATAGGGATTGTCTGCTGTCAGTGCAGATTGTTATGTTTTTGTCAGAAATTCCTTTCCTGGTTATTTCTTTTGTGGCGATTGAGATACCAACCAGTTCTGTTCGGACCACTTAAACCTTAGGCTCAGTGATCTGGAGTACACTCCGTATCCTGAGCCTTTTTTGGTTTTTGAGCCTTCTGTATATATGCGTATTGCATTTGTAGCATCTGACTCTGTGTTCTCAGTTTCAGAATAAAGAAGGTCTGAAGAGTATTGGATTGTTTTACAGAATGAATTTTTGATAATTTTTTACTATACTATCACTAATTTATTAATAATAGTTTTTCCGACTGCCCCCAAGGTACTATTCCATAAGCTATATGCGATTTCACTAATGCGTGATACACTGTTTCAGTTGGATTTTGTGAACAAAATATATCTGAGGTTTTTCAGTTTGTAAATTAATAAATATAGTTTTTTGATTACATACGCGACATGCTTATCCCACTTGAGGTGACTGTCAATAGTCATATCTAAATATTTAAATTCGAATGTAGATTTTATTGAAAAATCATCAGAAATGTTCAAAGTAGTGAAGGACGTCAAGGTGGATTTATTATTGGATAGTGGAAGAAACAATATTTCGCTAGGGTCAGCAATCGACTCTGAAAACATGATTTAATTTCATACATATATCTGACAACAGTACTAAATAACGAACCAACAAGAATAAGTAATATCAGTAGTACCCTCATTGACATAATGTCATCGAGTAATGTTGATATGATAGGTAATACTTGCACAATAAATGCTGATGGAATATCTGACCATTGTTTGGTATATACGGAGTTGACATGTGAGGAGCATACACAAAAATACTTTTATAGAACATATCGCGATTATAAAAACTTCAATTATGATGAGTTTTCTGTAGATTTAGTAAAAATGCCCTGGTATGACCTTTATTTATTGAATGATATAAATGAAATCGTATCTACTTTCAATACATATATGATTTCCATATTTGAAGTGCATGCACCAACAAAAACAGTAAAAATTAGTAAACCAAAAGCACCATGGCTTACAGACCCTTTACGAATGATGATTCGGAATAAAAATAATGCGATGGCAAAATTTAAAAGAACAAAAAATAGGAATGATTGGGATAATTTCAAGAACTTGAGAAATATGGTAACAAGGGTATCTTAACTTCATTCATAACCAACTTGATTCCAAACAGTTGTGGAATACTCTTCATCTTTTTGATATTGTCAGTAACAAAAAGTATAGTTCTATACCAGAACATCTAAAACTGCCAGATAAAATTAATGAGCATTTCATAAAATCAGTTGAAAACATTGTGAATAAGCCCTCTAAAAAAATATTAGATCACTTTAAGACAAATAGTTTTAACGAAAACATATGCTTTAAATTCATACCACTAACAGATGAGCAAACTTTCTCAATAATAAACAATATCAAATCAAATGCCACTGGATCTGATGGAATCTCCATAAAAATGATCAAACTATGTACACCTTACTTGATTCCGATAATCACTTTTATGGTAAATAAATGTTTAACAAATGGTATTTACCCCTTCTCATGGAAAAAATCACTAATTTTTCCGAATAATAAAATTTCTAAGCCTATCAATATATTACCATCAATTTCAAAAATTCTTGAAAAAGCAGTTCATGAGCAAATGTATAATTATGTGAATGAAAATAAAATACTACCACCACATCAACATGGATTTAGGCCAGGTCATAGTACTACTACTGCACTCTTGGGAATAACTGATGAAATTATAAATAATCTAGATAAACGTAAAACAAAACTTTTATTATCCATCGATTACAGCAAGGCCTTTGATACAATGAATCATCATTTAATGTGCACCAAAATGAAATACTTTGGCTTTGATAATATGTCGTGCTCATTCATTGAATCCTTTCTATATGATAGAACTCAACGTGTTGTCATGGAAGACATAAAATCGTCTGAACTTGGGGTAGCTCATGGCGCACCCCAGGGATCAGTATTAGCTCCCCTTCCTTTCACTATATACACTTCAGATTTCTTTAAGGTCTTGAAAAAATTTCAAATACAAACATATGCAGATGACACAAACTTAGTTTTTAGTGATAGAATTGAGAATATTATGAACCAACAAAGTTATTTGAATGAAGATATAAAAAAATTAATTGAAATATCCAAGGATCATTCACTCACTATCAATCCTACCAAATCAACAGCCATAATATTTGGAAGTGATAAAGATCGACAGAGGGCCATAGACAATATATCTTTACAAGTTGATGATCAGTTGGTGATATGTAGTGATTCGATAAAAATTTTAGGTTTGATAATTGATCACAATTTCAAATTTATAATACATGTAAGTAATCTTAAAGGACACTCTTATTCAATACTGAGAAAATTATATTTCATTAGGCATCACCTTAATGAAAAAATTAAAATCACATAATGAGATTCACTTATATTATCGATATTTAACTATTGTGATATTGTTTATGGCCCATGTCTTGATTATCTAGCCCGCTCTGGAATAAAGAGAGTGCAAAACGCGTGTACTCGGTTCATCTGTAATAGCAAATATAGGGAGAATGTGACACCTCATATTTATGACATCGGATGGCTGAAAAAGCAAAATAGACGAGAGTTGCATCAAGTTTATTTCCTCTTCAAATTATTTTTTAATAAAATACCACAAGATTTAATGAAAAAGCTCACTCCACGACATCAAGTTCATAACAGATACCTTAAGACAGTTACCACCCTTACCATACCACAACATTTCACTGTTCTTTATGAAAAATCATTCACATATCAGGCTGCTACCACTTTCAATATATATCATAAATATATAATACCACAACTATGTTTATCGTTCAAAAAGAAAATTAGGAAGATCATATTCGATAAACAGTGATCACAACAATCTGTAAGATAATTCATCTATCAATAATTTTTGTTTATTTTTTTTGTTGTAACTACATATATGTGTCAATTTGTAAATATACAAAATACTGGTTGAGTGGAAGAGTAGCGTAAGCTAAGCTAATCTCTTTCTACTAGTTCTTTCAAAGTGTTCCATTCTTGGAACACTTTGAAAGAATTGTATCTGAGTAAAAAATTGCTGTATCTCTTCATACGTGATTATTTCTCCTCTTGTATTGATTTTAAATAAATGTTAAACAGGATTTGTCCTAGTAGGGTTCCTTGAGGCACTCCATAAAGAAAACGTTATCATCTATTTTTTACTTGAACTTGTCCTTTAATGATTTGTGTTGGATTGAGAGTGTTCTGATTGAATTCAGAACACTCTCATCATCAACAAATCAGTTGAAACTAGCTGTCTGCAGACAGAAGACGAATCTCGTTCAGTTATTGATGTCGTTATTGATTTTGCAATGGAAAGCCTTTGGGCATTTATCGCAGATATCCGTGATTTTAGTCTTCTGACAATCCCATACATGTCGTCTACATAACATACTTTTGATCAGGATCATTATTCAAGAATGGTTCAGTCCAACAAAGCATTTGTGGTTCAGCTAAGCATCACTGATGGGATCTATGGTGGGTCGAAATAGCGCTGTCTTGTGATAGATAAGGAATTCTTGAGTTTTTGTGTTCTAGCTTCAACTAGTTGCGTTGCAGTGAAAGCTGCCGTGAAGAACAGAAGACGGATCTTTTTCGGCAACGATTTCAAAGTTTTGCTTTGCAACGGGCCTTGTGGAAACTTTGTTTATCATAGATATGCATAGTTTGTGGATACCCAAGATGGCGTCTTCGTGAGAGTAGATGTCGAGGCTCACTATTGTGTTATGTACGATAGAAGCGTAAAAATAGTTCTACCTATGAAACAAACGATGCGAACTTACTTGATGTTACCGACAGAATAGTTACTGGCTCCGTTAGTAGATATGTTGTAAAAGGCTGCTCTGATTCTGAAAGGACCTCTTCCGTTCTCCATGATAAGATTGTCGATGGTGAGAGGATCTAGGCTGGGAACATCAATGTCCTTGATTCCCTCCTTCAGGTATGGTCTGAGATGGTTGAAAGTTTTTACAAGGCATTTGTTGATTTCCGGGTCTGCTTTGAGGCATGGAAGAATGTATTCAGCTGGAAAAAGAATTTGTGAGAGGTAGAATGGATTTTTTATATTATATGTGGGTCTGTTTCACTCAGATTATTCATGAAAGGTATTTTAATTACTTATTCTACTTATCCTAGGAAAAGCAGTAGGACTAGACTAGAGTCTTGACAAACCTGGAGTATATCTCCAATGTTTTAGATATTTTTCAAGTACACAGAAATTATTTTTGAGAATTTTGGGAGAGAAGATAAATAATTGTGATACCAATAATCAACAGTAACTAATATTGAATCATGATGGTCCATTCGGTATGTTACTTCCGGGAGTGTTTGCACCTCTGTCAGTGCACTCCGTCCAATTGAAATATTTGTGACATTCTGAATTTCCAGTATTATTATCGCAAAATTCGAAATGCTTCACTCTTGCAACTCCTGGTAATTGCATGTTGACGCCTCTTACTAGTTCTGGTTTGATGTAAATAATAATTGTTCCTGAAGAAAAACTTTATACTGTCTCAGAGACACCAGAGGTTGCCTACGAGACGAGATACTTCTGTGGTTATTCCTGATGGACAGTTCACTTGATGTTCTCGACAACAGAGAGGTGCATCTGTAGGATTATGCAGACGACCTTGCTAACTTGACAAGGATCTAGAAAGTTAGTATGTGAAGAACGAAGAAGAAGGACGATGTTCATATTTGATTCCGGAGGAAGTAATGTTAACTCTTACAAAATTGTGATAGCCCTATCACCAGGCGGAGGAATCTGGATGATCTAGTATCACATTTCTTCAGTGGCAGTGGAAGTGAAATATCACGATAAAAACTCTCCTGGAAAGCCAACTTAGGACAGGTACTACACAAAGCCAAAATAACGCTTTACACATATCAAAGGATTTGAGAAAATATTGGATGTATGTGATAATTGTTAGGTAATGTTAGGTAATGTTCACGTTTGGAGCAATTACTGAGGCTAATCATTCACTGCCTGAACGACTATGCCTGCTGTTTTTGGCGAGTGCATTGGCTTGGGATGTGGGGGTTGAGCAAACCGACAATCGGATGCCTGCTTTCACGTAGCCCCGCTGGATACAGGAATGACAGCATCACTTGTGGTTCTGTTATTCCCTACCTGAATGGCATCTCATTGATGGCTTAATCCTAAGGTGTGTGTATACGTGCCGAGAGGATTAATGACACTGAGCCTATCAGCTGTCTCTATGGAACCTTCGAGATCCGGGCGTCCTCTCGTCGTAGCAATGCGGGGCTCTGCTGTGATTGACGTTCTTTCCCTAGCTACTCGTCGGAATTTTATGGACAGAGTAAACTTAAAAATGTTTTCTGACGCTGAGTCTACAGAGGAAATGGATGTCTAGATTACGACTCCAACTGACCTCCCTATAAATTTAGATCAGGAGCGAGATCTTCTCAACTCTCCAACTCCTGATCCAATAACTGAACCTAAAAAAAGGTTTGGTGGTGCAGCCAGGAAACGACTGAGTCGTCTCCTCAAGAGGTGGATACCTTATGAAACCGCCTTGCACCAAATTCTAGAACGGCATACGCAAAATCTGTCTCAGGTGGAGGAACAGACCCCCATGAGCAGGTTATCAAACGTTTGCCCTCGAGTGATGATTCACCAAAACCAGAGACGAAGGAGCCCTTCACGGGCGAATCTTAGGCATCGTCAGGTGTAGCTGACGTGCAAAATGTAGCTGACGTGCAAAAACTCTCAAAGGGAAAAGTTGTCGCGGATATCAAGGTGGGAAACTTGCACCTTGAGTATCCGACTACCTTCTTAACGATGAAACAGCAGAGCATATACTTTGTGCATGCCCCGCTGGGGATCGAATCAGGTTTTTAAAGTTCGGCAAAGCCGTATTCTTACCATCTGACCTGAAAGACCACTCACCATACAAAGTAATCGGCTTCGTTGAGAAGCTGTGTTTATTTGGTCGAGTATGAATAGGTGTGAGCCACAATAAACCCTTGCGGGTTGCAGTTGACGGTCGAATAGACCCACTCACTTTGGACCTATCCTAACCATATTTTTCTAGGGAGAAAAGCAAGATGAACAAAATAGAGAATTGTGCACATTGCCAATTTCACTTATGCGGATCACGTCAGACTACTGGATGATACTAAAAGTCACAGTAATTTAGTAATGACCTCTAGCCCAATACCTCCAACAGTCAGGTATGTTCTGTATTATATAATTTCAATCTAGAATAGAGGGGTCTAGATCTTACTGAAGGACAAAATATGAAGGGTCGATAGCTGTTGCCTAATCGTTGCACTGATGGATCAATAACACTATCAAGTTCTGGTGCAGGTGTATTCAGTGACAGATCCAGAATGAAAAGATGTCAATCCTCATTGTTTTATGCGTGGAGAGACTTTCAAAAACCAACTTTGCACATAAATCGTATAACCAAGTGACTTCAGAAGTACTTTTGGCTCTACGTCTAAGTTGGAATTAAATTGCCAAATTGACTGTCTCCTGTTTGGATTCCTCTTGCAAGAAAGGGCGATTTTTCCGATTCAGAACTTGTCATGAGCATTGCTTTAGGTTTTACCACAAAAATAGTGATAACCTGAACTTGTGACATAATCTACTAGGATGGGTAGAGTTTATATATTCAAAATATTTCATTAAATGATTTTTAAGATTAGAGCAGGGATGACCTACGTTATCCAATAGAATTCTTCATGGCTCACTGAAGGAATATCCGACGTGACAAACTTCTAGAGGCTTGCTGAAACGATACTGATGATCGTTCAAGATATTAATCATTACAATAGTTGACTCACAACTTCACGATTTTCGATTCATCTGCTAGTAAAAAAAGCAATGTTGATGCGAAAATTATTTTTAAACATTTAGATGCTGAAGGAAGTCGAATAGAACTCCAACAAAAAACCCTCATAAATGTTGTTTGTCACTTGATGAGACTGCTTTATATTTTCAATAACGGTATAGTTAATTCAAAATAGACGTTTAATTCACCTAATCACAGAATAAATAGGAAATAATGGAATTAGTGGTATTAATGTTAGCACCAGTTCAAAAAACTTGTTTGTATACACTGCGAATATTTCGAAAGATTTTCGAAAGACAGTCAAATGATATGCGGAAGACTCCTTCTTATACGAAAAATATTGACCGAAGGCCACTCCAAGAATTAGTGTCTGCACTCTGAGATTATGAAACCCATTTTGTTGAGTCATTAGCTTTCGCTCAGGATAGCCTTGACACGAAGAAACCCCTCATGTCTACATTTCTCGTCACTTTTCCTGTTCAAGAAACACTGCGAATACTTTAGTAGGACATATATGGAATTCCCGTTTCGTGCGAGAAAATACGACTTGGAAAACTCTTGCTGTTAGTTATTCAAAGCGAATTATGTAATTCACCAGCGTACTGAATGTTTATTGAACCTATGCGTTTCTGTACAATCGGCACGAATCCTACGAATGTAGGCCGCCAACAAAAGACACCTAATTATATTACCTACCTACCTACTTAGGCATTATGTAATTTCTACGAAGAGAGTGAAAGTGTTATCGAGACGAAGTGTGCAATATCTGCTCGACCGTTGTGATGCGTGAGACCTAATAAGTCACTTATTATCGCTATGAAACTTGAATTCATTGACAGTTAAGATATATTTATGACTATTTCAAGCACCAGGTGATAGATATTGATGAATATCCATCACCTGGTTTACTCGCATTTTTTCCGTGTTATATTATGTTAGTTTGAGGTTTTGGGAGCACAGACATGCAGAAAAGATATGAGAATCAATAAGATAATCAAGACAGAGGGTCTAGGGCCTGTTGAACTCCCAGGTGAGAAGATACATATGTCTAGAGAGGTTAAATATATGGGAGTGATAATAGATCAAAAGTTGATCTGGAACCAACATCTAGAAAGAGTAGATGTCACAGATTCGGGCTAGACGCTAGACAAGACATGATGCTGTGGTACGATAATACTATGATCTGGTAGCCAAATATGAAAAAACGACCGTTTTTTTGCAGACTAAGCTTCTTGAATCTTCTCCCTTCACATCTGATAATAGTAGATGGGAGCTAGTTTAGACTCAACATTCACCGAGTTACAATAGATCAAACAAAACACAAATTTTTGAATATGAGGAGGAATCAACAAACTTTCATGAGCCGGAAGACACCGAAATATATGTTTGATGAATGATACTAATTTCCCAGTCGAAGTCATAAACAGTGAAGGGTGGAGAATACAATCATCATCGAAGGAATATTTTTCAAGATGGAAATATCGAATCTAATGACATACATGGATCACCAGGAGACTGGTGCAGAAACAAATAGAAGATGATCTCAACAGTTTTCGGTCGCAAGGCAACCGTTATAAATAGATAAGCACTATTATAATCATTACTTGATGAAAAAAATTGCATAAACGCAAGCGAAACATGTTGGTTTGACACCCGAATTAGCTTGCAAATTTGACCAATCCATTGAAAACTGCACTGGCAGAAATTTGGAAAGCTTTTCTGGAATGTCATCAGAAAAAGAATCTACATGATACTAGAAATGATATAAAATGAAGAAAGTTAGTGCAGTACTGTTTTTGGTTTATTACCGCCTGCCTGGCATTAACGATGCCCAACAAGTGGTTCTTAAATTGAAATAATATTTGGAATTATCATAATAGTACGTGAATATTACTGGAGTTTTTTCCCAACACCAAATCGTTATTTTTAACACCTCGACACGCGATTCGATTACCAAGTGATCATCTTCATAGAGGAAGATTAAAACTCTTCTAATAGTATGTGCGGAAATCATCGAACTGATTAGCAGTGTTCCATGACGGTCAGTCATTGAATGAAATTTTTGAAATCAAAACACCCAACAGTAAATGGTTATTGGTTATTTGCTGAAGAGGCAAATATGCGATTCAGTATCAATCACGATCCATTATGATTCACCTCCGATGACTGTCTCATAGATTCAGTGAGACGGATTCCGGTTGTGTTCAA